CCCCAAAAAAACCCTTGGATTTAATTCATCACATTTCCCCCTAAAGTTTGCATTTAACTGTCTGCATTTCCCCCCAGATTTGCATTTAACTTCCTACATTTTCCTCCAAATTGCTATTGAACTTTCTGTATTTCCTCCTAAAATTGGCACTGAACCCACATTTCCCCTTAAGATTTGCATTTCCTTTCTGCATTTCCATCTGAAATTTAATTTTTGGTACACATATTTGCACCAAGAACAAAATTTGGAGAAGTGTATAGTCCAAAGGATAACTTATTTATTAGTCTGGGAACTGTGATTTAGGTTGACTGGTTTAAAAATGTGGCCCAAACAAAATTTACTTGCCTATCTAGTGCCAAGATGCAAAGGTCCCTTTTAAATCTCTGTGTTAGCTTTTCCCAACTAGGAACCACTCAAGTTGTGTTGGATGGCACCCAATTTCCTTGGCCCACATAGCCATTGGATTTTTCCAGTATACAGAACAAGTGGCCATGCTGGCTGCAGACAATGGGAGTTGTAGTCAAATAAATTTCTAGAGCTTCTAGCTGCAGAAGACCACTCTAGTTACTACTTGGTTAGTACACATTCAAACTGGACCTCTTCTTGGTCAGGGAGTGCTTGTTACTTTAATGTAAGATTATTTGAACAGTGTAGTAGCAAATCTCTCACTAAGATAGAAATGGCAATTGCTGAGCAGTGTTGCCATATACCATAAAATCAAGCTGCAGAATTGCAACTGTAATACAAAGACAGGGACATCATCAGCAGGTGAAGTTACAGAGAAAAGGCACTGGGTGAAATCCAGTTTAGGTTTTCCATCAATGGAATCCCTTCTGTCAGTGGAAAGAGGAGAGGGGCAATTCCCCCTTCCCCATGAGCACCATCAAAATCTGCTACAAAAGGCAGGGGAATTCTCTGGATCTAATTTTCAGGGGGTTTAGGGGCTGTTGGGGGCAGGAGAAAGTCCCATCATGCACTTCTTATAATTATGCTTTAGCAGAGGCCCCCATGTGCTCCCAGATTCAGTGGTGTAGTGGCAAGTTTAGAAATTGGGAGGGGGGTCACTTCATGATAGGCAGAGCCACACCTTAAAGCCATGTCCACATCAAAGTAAAGCCATGTCCACATCAAAGTTAGACCCCCAGTCCTATTTCCATGATTATGCAAACTATGATTATACAAGAAAAATGAGCTTTATCACTTCATTTGAATTTCTGTTGAGTAATGAATGCAAGATGAGGATTTCTCTTTTTGCAGTGAAACTCTGGTCTCCAGCCAAAACGCTCCTAGAGTGGCTTATGTGGAATTAATAAGGCAGTCCCTGCCCAAAGGTTTATGATCTAAACATGACGTACAAGTGGAATGGGGCAGGGAAGGAAAAGGGCAAAAGAAAACTCAGGCACTAATTACCATACTTACAGAAACATATATAGTTATATTCAGGGCTTTTTTTTGGTCATAGAACGCACCGGAATGGTGTTCCGGCACCTTTTTTTGACGGATTTTTCCAAGTGATTGTGAATTGCCCTGTTGGGCATAGCAGATCTGCCGCAGAAATCATTAACATAGTGCCTGTGGGCTGCTTGTGTGTCGGCGCTGATAGTCAGCGCTGTTTGTGAGGGCGCTGCTCGGCTTGGCACGCTGCTCAGCTTGGGATCGGTTGTGTGGTCGCGCACTGAGTGCTTACTGCCGGCGGTGACCATTGTGTGAAAGTGTGACCCCAAGACGTGAGTTCTGGCACTTTTTTTTTTTTTTTTTTTTACAAAAAAAGCACTGGTTATATTCTCCCAGGAGCAGCGGTCTGGATTGACAATCACTGTTTGCTGGCCTCTGCAACCACTGACTTTGTTGTGTGCGCATGGGTGTGGGAGATCCTCCATGAGTCCAGAGTCCAGGAGCCCAACACAGTGGCAGCTGCCAGCCACAGACCAGCAAAATTCAGTCTCTCAAGAGGGGGTCAGGGAGCTGCAGGGAGCCTGGCCTCAGGGATCTAGTGACCCTCGCCCCAGGTCCTCCTCCACTACACCCTTGCCCATATTTCCTTGCTTTACAACAAGATGTCTCAACTTGTTTGGGCAGATGTTTATTTGGGAGTTGTCTTTGTGGTTAATTATGTAGATTGTCCATAATGAACTAGGTTCAGCAGGTTCTCAGTTTCCAAATATTAGAACATGACTTTTTGTCCTCATCTAAATAATATTCAAGAGATTTGTCTTCTCTTCTTGTCGGTCCAGTATGGCATGTACCTAAAATGTGTCTCTTTGGTATGTTGCTTATGTGTGGTATATATATTTGATACCTCTTGACAAATAAATATGATGCAATGATGGCATTAATGGAAATTGATATTTCTTAGGTGTCTGTATCATGATAATCTAGCTTGCCAGTACCCACCTACCTGCAGGACTTTGTGGCTTGTTTAGTTTTCCTAGCTAGATCTGTAGCCCCTTATCACATTCCTTTGCTTTTTCAACCCTAGAACAAGGCATGGGTTTCAGGAGTGCTTGTAAGCCACCCACCCTTTCTGTGTTTGGACATCACAACAACCTATGCCTTGGCAAGGGGAATTTTGCTAATTTGGCAGTTTGCAAGCAGCACACCTGGGGAGGGAAAATAACCCATTGTGCCTTAATCATTTTCCGTGATTGTGTGAATGCAGCCTCAAGCATTCTTGCTCCTTCCTCAAGGACCTGGCCAGAGCAGAATAATTTATTCAATATTGTTATCTTCCTGTTTTATTCCTCTCCAAGTCTATGGGTGGACATCCCTGTGTCCTTGTCATACTGTTTAGAGGTACCTTTCAAAGGCAAGCTCTAGTACTTATAGCAGCAGTACGGGTTGTAAGGGATATAAAATTATCCTTGTGGGCTAATAAAACTGGGAAGGCTGGAACCATTATATTCATCTATGTCTAGAGGAGTCAGAGAATACCCAGACTGAAGCTGCTTGGTTTTCAGAAGCTGCCCTGCAGGTGGAACTGATTGAAGCTGTTCAGAAGCCCTAAAATGCCCTACAAACTTCTAAGCACACCAAATTGTTCTAAATGCTTATATCTTTCCTAATGGCCATCGTCTGGAGTGCAAAACCCTTTTTGGCCTGAGGTCCATATCCACTCATGCAAAAACCTCTGGGGCTGCATGCTGATGGCAGAGCAAAAACTGGAGCTGTAACAAAAGCTGGGCTGGGCCAGGACCAAAAGTGAGTAGAGCTCAATTTCCAATCGAATTCTGATAAGGATGTACCCACCTCGCACCTTCCAGACCAAACACTGACTCAGAAAATTTCTGAGTAAATGCAAATCCCTGCCTTTGGAACAAGGCATTCTAGAACCTAATCTACTTGTGTGCTGAAGTGCATCTTACTCATTGTTCATGACTTTCTTTACCTCCTCTCATTTCTTTTTTGCCATCGTTCAAAGCAGAAGACTGGTGTGGAAAAAGAAGGATTTTTAATCTCTTACTTCTTGGTGCAGATTCACTGAAAAGAAACCAGGTCCTCATGTTTTACCCTCACATAGGAAAATGCAAAGCACCACTAGCTTTCTCAGCAATATGGGTGAAGGCAATGGGGAAGGAGGGATTTTTAATGGAAGATTTGAGAGCAGTTAGCTGTCTTAGACAGTCCCATATTCAAGAGTCCCTTATTCATATATTCTATATATCCAGGACACAGAAAGCAAAAGGTTTTACTAAATAGGACACAGCCTAAGTTCCCTGGGTACAACAGGCAGATAACAAACTGGCAATCAAATGATTAGGTACACTGCGGTGCTGTGCAAAGCAGTTTCTAAAATTCCTAAATGACCCTACTGCAAAACATTTGGAGCACAGCAGATTGGGGAAGGCAGATTTGGCACGGTGTGCAGAGACATTTTGTTGCCATTTCAATGCAGCAAGGATGGTTACCACTCAAGTTAGTAACTGACAGCTATTAAACTTGGAACACCAGACATTTATTTATTACCATGCTTTTATAGACAAAGTTCTCTGGATGATGTGCAGTACATTACGAGCATAAATGCAAATATTAAAACAAGGAATAAAAGCAGCTCCCTAAATAAACAGATTAAACCCAGCAGTAGAGTAAAGCACTGCAGTGCCTGGGAGAATAAACCCAACTTTACCTGGCACCATGACTTAGGCTCCAGGAAAGCCTCTGTGGGGCAACTTTCCACAAATGGTGCCACCAAAATGCCCCCTCTCTGGTTGCCACCTCATTTGGTGGGGCATCTGGAGGAGAGCCTCAGGTAGTGGCCTCAACACCTGCGTAGGCAAGGTGTTTCTAAACACCTGAGTAGGCTTCTCAGTTAAGCACTTTTGAGTCACTGACCCACCAGGGTTCGGGAGGGGATTTACTCAGTGAAGTACAAACAGAAATCAAACAATCTTTTTTTCTGGATTTGCATCATTGATAGTAAAGTTGTCAAAGTCAAATTTACATTATGAAATGCTATATTCACCTAATTTCCTCCACTCCCTACATTATGAATAAAGGGTGTTGTTTGAGTTACATAAACTAGAAGTAGAGGGAGTGATTTGTACCACGTAAGTATTCACAAGGTTAATAAAAGGAGGTAATGAAATTAAAATACAAGTTCACCATCCCAACAAAGCAAAATTATACCCTGGGTATAGTAGTAGAGACAGGATTCAGCTACGCCTGCAGGTCTTTGGAGTTTCCTTCCCCTTTCTCACAGTAAGCAATCACATTTTTCCTTCAATTTTCACTATCACTGAAAATAGATGAATCTCTGTTATTCAACACTGAAATATCATAACTGTAGGAAGAGAATGCTCAGTAAACAAATGTGCACTACTTTGTCTTAAACATGTTTCTAAATATGTTTCTGAATAATTGAGCAGAAAGAGAGAAAATGATTTCAGCAAGTTAGTAAGGGAGGCGTTCCTTTGCAGTCCTCCTCACATGAATGCCTGAAAATGAATTTGCACTCTTGTGAGCCAGGCGGATTTGGCTTCTCTCATTACTGTTTCTTCAGGATAGGAAGCATGAGGTTTTTAGTCACCAACTCTTCTCTCCCTTTTCTCTGCTTTTTCAGGGAAGCTGCTGAAGAAACACTGAAGTGACAATGACCTCCACAGACAAAGACTCAAATGGAGTAGACAATCCCATTTTTATAGTAAGTCTGTGTTTGCATTTTAAATCAAATGCTGATATGATTTATGATTTCTTTTCATTCTAACAAATTGGTAATGGGGAAGGGAGGAGTGGAATATTAGGCTTGCAACAGGAACAACTTGGATTGTAGAATAGATATTTTTCCCTGTTAGGAATGGTGTTTTTAATGTACTGTTTGTAGTTTAAGACTTTTAGATAATCCTATGTGTTGTGCACCCTTCCTTTTTCCTGCCCTGCCTTCATCAAGTTCTGAAGCTGCAATTCTAAGCATATTTACTTGGGAGGAAGTCCTGTTGGATTCTGTAGGTCTTAAGGTGTCCTTCTGAGTAAATTTGCATAGGATTGAGATACACATGTAGTATGGAGAGGGGGAGGTGGAAAGGATGCGTGAATGAATGCGTGGAGGGATAAAAACACGGGAAGTGTGTGTACCTGCTCACCTGCCCGCGTGTGTAAGCCACAGAGGCAATATCTAGCAACATGGCAGTTCCGGCAAAAGTATTGAATGCTTTGGCACAAGTTCAAAATTGCGATCATAGCTCCAAGGTAGAGCTTGTTGTTTAACTTTGGGTTGTTGTATTGGCATCTCAAGTTAAAGGGGACAGAAGGTGTTGGGCAGTCTTCTCAGACAGATGACGCTTTGCCAGAGGTCCCAGAGCAGGGGTAGGCAGCGTGGTTCCCATGGGCACCAATGCATCCCTGAACTCTTTTTTTGGGGCATGCTGCTATTCTCACTTAAAATAAACAAACAAATAAATAATCATGTTGTTACCAGTAGCTGAGACTGCTGTGGGATGGGTTTCTGTTGGTGCTGAAAACTGTGTGTTCCAAGGAGTTGAGTGTGTTGATGCTCAGACCTCACATCTGCCTTGTATTTGGTCTTTCAGGCAGGTTGCTTATCCTTTGCCACATCTCCCATGGTAGCCATTTTGTGATAATGCCTGAGACAGTTCCTCAAGTTGTGAAATGTGCCCACAGCCTCAAAGGGGTGCCCACTGTTGTCCTACAGAGCTGCCAGTCAGACCCTGGGCTCAATGGACCAGTATTTGAATGTATTATGTACTGAATCATTGGTTGCATGCTAACTTTTCTCCATCTCGAAGTCCACACTTTAATATACTGCAGAATTTTATAGGATCTCAAACGAGTTGTTCTCTGATTGTTGATGTTGTTTAGTCTTGCTAGAGGCAAATCACTTTGCCCCTAGCAATTCCTATGAATCAAAGCCTCCTGCTGTTTGAAATGTGCCCAAGTCACATGCTAAGTATTTTGCCTGCACCACACTATCCTCAGCTGGGACAGGCAAAGTTGTCCTGGCTGAGAGGCTGGCTAGAGGAGCAGGCTCTCACCTGGCACCTGGGCCAGGTCGGCTTTGCTACCCATCGGCTTTCCCTGGCTGCAGGACGGCTGTGTGCAGCAAAGTCAGATCCCCTATCAAAGTGCTGTGTGGAGGGCCGCTCCCCTGGCCCATGGGTCAGGATGGTTTCACCCATACCTGCAGTGGGCAACGAGTGGGGGAGCTGCTAGCTGAGGTGTGGTTGGCGACATTCTGGATGGTGCTTCAGCGCCATCACTGCACCATGCCTCCTCCGTTTGCCCCTGTGTATATGGAGTGCTGGACTAGATGGACTTTTGGTCTGATCCAGCATGGCTTTTCTGATGATCTTATGTGCATAGCACCTGAGTTCCCTATCAGTGAGAGCAATATTAATGCAAATTCACCAAACAGTATGCTTCACTGTTTTTCTTCTTTGTCCCTCATAGCAGCTGTGTGCAATAGATCTTTGGCTTCCCTATTTTACCCAACAGAACCTGCCGAGAAAATAGACAGAGCTGGGAGGGACCAAAAGGCCATGCTGCCCCTCCGGCCTATTGCACATTTAATGACCCATCTCTGTTTCTCATGGTTGTGGATCTTAGAGTGCCACTTTGAGCTTTCTCCCTCCTCCCTCATAACTGCCCTTGTTACATGAGAAATAAAAACTGACCTCCTTAGCAGCAGGGAAATCAGCTCAAGTGCATTCCCAGCTTCCCATTTTGGATAAACATTTTGCACATGTTTCCTTCAGCACATCATGCTGAAGGAAAAAGTCAAGGCATGTGAAATATTCTAGGCAAAAGCAGGCCTGTGCTATCCGTTAGTTGCTTGCTTATTTTCTCTGCTTTTGGATTACAATAAATTATATTACTTTCAAGTGAACTTGCCTAAGGGACTATGCCAAGGGGCTGTATGGCAGGTTTACCACCAATACTGTTCTGCAGGTAACTTGCTTCGATTTATCATCTCCTCATTTTGACCTAGATAAGAACTGATTGATCCAAAGAAATACAATAATGTATAAATACCTCCTGGAGAAGCAAATGGGGTACCCTGTTGTCATTTCATTTCTTTGTATTACAGATGGCATTATCCATAAACGGTAATATCTGTCATGCCTTTTTTTGCTTTGCTCAGTCAAGAACAACTGCAATGCAAAGAGCTGCTTGGCAATGTTAGTGCTGCTTTCATATTTGTTTGTTCAATGACAGATACCTACTTATGTACAATATTTCAAATTTTAAAGATGAATATCATGACCCAAACCTCAGCAAGTTGCAAAGGGGTCTAAAGTGATGCCGAATTAGTATTAGATCACAGAATGGATTCAGATTGGTGACTTCGATGCTGAATATGTATCAAATGATTTGATTAGCAAGCAGTTATGTTGCTCTAGCATTGCTCAAGAAGCCTTTCAAATATTTTACTTTGTCGTAAACCATCCCAAGAGCTTTGACTATGGGCGGTAAGCATGACATTGTTAATAATAATAATTGTCCTCCTGGCCACACATGAATGAGAACATTCCTTCTTGGTTTCTGCAGACCGATAATGGAGGGCATTACTGTAACTTCACAGAAGTTGGTGCCCCAGTTCCAGACTGTGAAGAAAGGCCAAAAGACCGCCGCAAAGACCGGAGCAAACTTGCTTACATGGTCACAGATATCCCCCCATGGTACCTCTGCATTTTCTTGGGAATTCAGGTGAGGCTTGAAAGGGCATGTTGGTTATTTTATTTATTTATTTATTTATTTATTTATTTATTTATTTATTTATTTATTTAAAACATTTCTATGCCGCCCCCATCGCAGCAAAGCCTCGGGGCTGCTCACAACATTCATAAAAAATACAATTAATAATTTAAAAACTTGTACCATCTCGGCTATATATATTAAAATCTATAAATACAATAATAATAAATTAACAGTTAAAATAACTTTTAAATAAAAAGGCCTTCGCCTGGCGCCGAAAAGCAAATAATGACGGCGCCAGGCGGACCTCTCTGGGGAGCTCATTTCATAGGTGGGGTGCCACTGCAGAGAATGCCCTCCTCCGGGTACTCACCCTCCTAATATCATTCACGGAGGGTTCCCAGAGAAGGGCATCAGCTGCCGATTGTAGGGGGCGGGAGGCATATATGGATGCAGATGTTCCTTTAGGTAACCAGGTCCCAAGCCGTTAAGGGCTTTATAGGTCATAACCAACACTTTGAATTGGGCCTGGACTTTAATAGGGAGCCAGTGAAGCTGACAGAGAACTGGGGTTATATGAGAACAACGCCCAGTCCCCGTCAGCAACCTGGCAGCTCTATTTTGCACCAATTGAAGTATCCGGATCATCTTCAAGGATAGCCCCACGCAGTGTGCGTTACAGAAGTCTAGTCAGGAAGTTACCAACGCTTGGGTCACTGTCGCCAGTTATGTGTCCCTAAAAGGCATATGTGTTGAATATAGCAGAAGGAATAAATTCTGACAGACTTAAAACCAGCTCACATGTGTGACAGACGTATATTGTAAAACAAGAGTCCTAAAGAGTCATTCCTCTTTTCCATTACATGCCAAACTGAGAGCAACAGAGGTCCTGCTTTTGTGTGTTTTGATGCCATCTCACTTGACTATGCATCTTCACCAACCAGTGAACACAGATTTTAGCAAACTTTCTCAGGTTTGTCTAGGCTATGAGATAGGGCTGCCATGCTTTTAATAACTGCATAGAAGGGAGAATTTTGTTTCCGTTGCTAAAGAAATAGTTTTTAACAGGGACATATGCAGGCATGAAATCTGCCCACAAACCTGTCAGAAATCCCTGGCTAGGCTTGTTAAAAGGAAACCTCACTTTTGATAGCTGTCAAAATGCTCTGCTCCTGTAAATGGCGTGATTTCCACTATTTCACTTTCCCAAGCAGCTAGAGTCTTTGGAAAGGGCGGAAAAGGTGGAAGATGTTGACAACAGTAAGGTCCAAACAAACAAAACTTCCTTGCTGGGAAGGAAGTGATCTACAGGCCATCCCCTTTCACCTTCAAAGCTTTGCATCTACTTGACAGCTTGCTGTTTGACAGCATCTGTGCACCTCTAAAAATATCACTTCCCCCCCAATTGTGCAAATCTTGGGTGTAAGCAAGAAAACAAAAAAGGTGGCAAATCAGTGAGAGTTGCTCCAGTGTGCTCCTTTCGCAGTTTGAAGGGGCTGCCACTTCTGAGATCACAAAAAGTGGACTGTGAAAAAAGAGGCGGGAGTAAAAGGGTAAACAATTTGCAGTGACCTCACTGTTGTAGTCATAGTTGGGGAGACTGAGCCAGAGAGTCACTCAAAAGTACTGCTTGGGCACTTAATGGAGCAGCTGTCACTGGCAGTGGCCCAGACAAGCTCAACAAGAGCAGCAAGGTGGTATTGCTTCTCTTGCTGGGTGGCTTGCTTACTGGTTCCCTGTACCTGGAAGTATACCTCGATTGTCTAGGTTTTGACAACATGCTAATTCATTGTAAGTGGAACAACTACTGCTGCAAGCTGTGCATTGTCAGGGTGGCTTGTCGCCCACAAACAAGCCAGCTTGCAGGAAGCTTTCCAGGTTCAAACAATAAACCAGTCCACCATGATGGGTTGTCTATGTCATGTGAATCAAGTCTGTATAACATCCCTTGAACCTGAAGGATTTCAGCCTATGCTTTTTGAAATATGCCAGTCTTTCAAGTAGTAGTGAGGGGAAATAGGGCTTGTTCAGCTCAGTGCAGTTCCCAGCACTCTTACATCCCCACAACATTGGCCAACATCAGTACCCATCTGCCAGTCATACATGTAGGCACCAAAGGCACTGCAATATATGAACCTGTACAGAGACAGCAAGATTAATTATATTGGCACAAACCCTGTTGCCTTCAATTATTTCTGATTCATGTGGCATGTGAGTTAGGTCTCTAAAGTAAAACCAAAAACAGGAAGATTTAGTGTTAGCTATTTGTATGCCTTGAGTTTCACATTATGTAACAGTTTAGGATTTCTCTTATTATTACAATTGTATTCATTCATTCATTTATTAAAGATGCTTCTTTATAAATAAGTCAAAAATGGCTTACAAAATTATGGAACCAGCAAACAAAATAAAGCCCATGCTAAAGTAAGAACGGGTCCATTCAAGTGTAAAGGCAAAGAGGTTACAAAGAACATTGAAACACACGAAAAGCTTGGCAAAATGAAAAGGTTTTAGCAGCATGCCTCAAGCTTAAAAGAGAGGGAACCAATCAGGAAGCTGCTCCATATCTTAGTGCTACAGTCAAAAAGGCCCTGTCTTGTCAGCAACTTGGATGAATACAAAGCTTTTTTTCCCTCTGCTTTGTAGCACTACCTGACTGCACTTGGAGGTCTCGTTGCCATACCGCTCATCCTCTCCAAATCGCTTTGCCTGACACATGACACCTTGACCCAGAGTCACCTAATCAGCACCATCTTTTTTGTCTCAGGGATCTGCACCCTCCTTCAGGTCCTCTTTGGAGTCAGGTAGAGATATACCTTTGGGAACATAGCTCACCATTTAAAAAAATGAGATGGATGTGGTACAAAACCATAAAATAGACATAAAATCAGGAGGAAAAGTGTCTCCTTATTTCAGTAATTGGATCAGAATGAAGTGATAATGGAAAAGCCGTGCGTGTGTGTGTGTGTGTGTGTGTGTGTTTATAGTTTATTCAGCAGATCCACATAATCCCACCAGCTGATATGTAAGGATATTGTAGCTGTATTGGGTTCCTTGGGATGCAGGGTTTCTTTTCCTTTTAAGTGCTGATTATAAAGTTTATGTTGCTTAGTAAGTACAAGAAATACCTATATTTACTTCGTGTTTCTCAGTCTATAGCTTCCTCTGTCCTCCTTAGTTTTCTTCTCTATGGTTAATGTTAACAAGATTACAAGACATATTCATTCATTTATTTCCTAATCTGCAGTGGCTTTACTCCCTCCCTCTCTCTCTGTGTGTGTGCGCGCGCGCGCGCGCGCACACACACACACACACACACACACACACACGTACACACGTGTGTGTGTGTGTGTGTGTGTGTGTGTGTGTGTGTGTGTGTGATTGACTTAAAGAAACAGTGAAATCACTCATCAGCTGGCTGCTTCAGGAAACACAGGAAATCTTACCTGATGTTCTGAATACATGCTAAACCTTTGGTGGTCAAAATGTTGCCTGAGAGTTGGAAAGTGGAGACAGGCACCCCTTTCTTCAATAAGAGTTGTGTCCCCAGCCTGTAACAACTTCGGGGATACTGGTATACTTCACATTACCCTGGAAGTGAGTTGAATGTGGATTGATACTGTGTGGGTGGTTAGCCACACAGTGAAAGAGGTGTGCAAAGAGAAGCTAATAAGCTGCAACCCTTTCCCTCCTTGGGGATGCGTTTATGGCCATTCAGGACCAAAGCATGTGTTAAACTTGTTGCTGGTCTGGTACATACTGAGGAGAAAGAGTAAGCTGTCCTTGTTTCTTACCAAATTCTTACCAAAATGTGCAGCATATATTTACTTGTGCCCAAATTGGGTAGGTAGATTTATTCAACTAGAACTCCTCCAGCTTGCATTTTTGCCCATCCTGTGCTTTCCTCTTTTTGGGGAGAATGTGGGCAGCTGAAGCTAGCTCCAATCTTTGACTGGAGATTACAGTGGGGATTCCTCTCCTTGCTAGCCTTCACAGGGTGGAGTTCTGGAGAGAGAGCTCACCTAAGGTCCACAGGCTGGATGGACCACTCAGGTAGGCCAGCTTTGGCCTGCAGACAGAAAGTTCTCCACTGCAAAGCTAACCTGTTATCCAGAGCTGCTTAATGTGGATTAAGGGCTCCATTCCTCAGGCAAACAGACAGTAGCTTCCCCATATGACCCTCAGTTCTCACTCTTACGGATCTTAGAAGATATTTTGAGTCTGGGATGGAAAACAAGGAAACACTTTATATTCTAGCTAGCTTAGTGTAGCAAAGGTGTATTAAATGTCCTCCAGGGCTTCTTGAGAAAGTTCTGCCCCACAGTTCTCAATGGTAGCCAGAGGTCTCCAACATGGTGCCCCTGGCCACCATGGCACCTCTGGGAACCTCCAAGGCTGCTTGCAAAGCTCGCTCCTCTTTGATCCCTTCAAAACAATTGTTTTAAGAAAAACTTTGGAAAATGTTGGGGCAGTCTTTCTCCCCCTATCTAATTACAAGCCTTGCTCTTTCTCTCCCCTCTGCCTTGCTATTTTCCCTTCCCTCTCATCCCCTGACATTACTTTTATTCTGCTCTCTATGCAGGTTGTCTTTCTAGGGGGACACTGATCCAGTTTAGGAATACAATGTTTCTTGCATCTGTTCTGAAACACACAGACTTGGCCTCCCTTCTTGGAACTCCATGCCCGCATGCACAAGCATTCTTTCCAGCAACCTCTCTGGTCTTCTGGGTCCACCTTTCCACAGACAGTTCACCTAATAAGGATTCTTAAAGATACTTGAATCATGAACCATTTTACCCTCTGCTTCCTAGCCTTGCACTTTCATTACCTCTTTGTCTTGCTGTTTTCCCCTCCCACCCTGACCTGCCCTCTTTCAGCTGCCTCTTGACTAGCCAGGTCCCATGGCTATCATTATGGAACTAGCCACATCCTGCCTGGGAGCCATTTTGTGATAGTGCCCACAGCAGTTTCTCAAACTCCCAAATGTATCCCCAACTCCAAAAAGGTTGGTCACACCTGGAGTAGCTTATTAACACGACATTTTCCCCAGTGGGTGAAAGTCAGCTTCAGCTGTGGGATGGGAAGTGATTTACACTGGGAAAATTGTGGGGGCTTAAACTTCAGCCCCTTCATTCCATGGTTCTGAGCCAATAAGCTGCCCTCCCCACACAGCTCTTTACAAGGATATGTGAAGAGGCGAGTGTGTCAGTCCTCATTTTCTAATCTTTCATTGAGTTTGGCCCATAGATGGATGTGAAAACAATGCCAAGGGCTATTTAGCTTAATCCTGACCTGATGTAGGAATAATCCAGTGATTAACATTCCCCATGCTACGTAATAGAAAAATAGCAGTATAACCTCTTAAGCTTCTGAGTTTTTACTGTGTTTTTGTTCATTTTGTAGTTTTATTCTTTGTGGCAACCTGGTGCAGGCACCCTTTCTGAAAGTGAAACAAAGTCACTACCCTTGGTTCTCTCAGTCCCTTGGGTATGGCTGGCCAAGAATCTCACTAGGGTTCTTTGTGCTGGACTTCTTGGTAGCCTACCTGTGTCCTTTGGGGAGCACAGCTAGATTGCCGGTAGCACTCCACTTTTTGTGTCCAGCCTGTCCCTTAAATCTGTATTAGTGTGACCAATAACATGCACAGCTCTAGCAAGGCTTCCCAAAAGCAACCAGTCTAAGTTTGGTGAAAACAGGGCAAGAGATGTATTTAAGATTCAGGAAAAACTACTAAATGGGGAAAAAATATAGTCATACTCTGAGCACCCCCTCCCCTCGCAAAAGAGCAGATTAAAGAGACAAACAGTTTCAAAGCACAAATCAAGAAGCAGTTCAAAGCAGCACACTAGTGCCAAAAAGCAAACAAAAGGGGAAAATACCATTCAGCTAGCACAACCTTGCTGGATGGGGTATGTGTTGGCCTGGCTGGAGTGGAAGTTGGTGGCCCCCTTTCTACCACCCAGAGCCCCTGCATAGCTGGGGCGTGATAAGATTGGTGATGATAGGATTGCCTGTTGTGCTACTGCAAAGACAATGAGACATATTAGGCTGAGGGTGAAAGTTAGGAATGTCAGAGGAAGCACTTTCTACCCATGTGACAAACTTTTGGATTAACATGCATAGTTATATTTAAAGCAAAAAACAACCTAAATTCTGTCTCTGAGCTAGTTTTCTTTACTTAAAAAACTCTTAGTTTGAGTTTACATACATATATTTCTTTCCAGTAAAAGCTTTCCTGTTTTTGGCACAAACCTTCCTACAGTTAGGCCCTTTTCCAGATTTATTGTTCTGCTCTGTTCTCTTTAATGCCTTTTTAATGCATTGAAGTGAGGGCTGTTTCATGCCCATAGAACACTCCTATGGTTGCTGTAGATCAGTGGTTCCCAACCTTTTCTGTGCCCTGCAGTCCTAGAAAATGTTTGATTTATGTTCGTATCCCCTACAAAAATATCACATTTGAAAATGAAGAAGTCAGAATTCTAATTTTGAACCACAGACTGAACCACATTCAGTATTGCAGGTGAACAAATTGAACCAAAAAGAATGAACTTTTAACTCAGTGCATAGCATTCAAACAAAAATTGAACAATTAGAAAAAAATATAAACAGTAAACTCGATCCCAATTGTGAACATAAAATTCAATGTTTTTTGTTCTTGCTTCTCATTCACAATGTTGTCAAAATGTGGAACTTTTTTGCTGATTGCAATCTGCAAGTCTGCCTGTGGATTCTGGCAATTCCTAGATTTTGTCTTGATTGACAAAAGAGAACTGAATCCAATTGCAAACAAAATAATAATAAATAATTTCATTATTGGGAATTTTTTTTGGCTCAAAATGCTGCAATCCACCAATTTTGAGGAATTGCAACAGAGCCTTCCTCTGTTGCACCCCAGGTTGGGAACCCCTGCTGTAGATGTACTCTTCCTTCCCACAACAAATGCAGATATGCCTAGGCCTCAAAACTCCTGGGCTTAAGTGCAGTTGAGCTTTCATTGAGCTCTGGCTTCCTAGAACACATGCCTGACCTTCTAAGAAGGCACACTTGTCATTTAAATTTGATTCTTTTGTTTCAGGACCCATTAAAGTAATGCCAGTGCACTTGTGGCAATCATGTTTGCTGTGGAAAGCTGATAACCAGTTCTGTCAAAGGGACCTTGAGAGTTCCTGCTTGTAAAGTGCCATTTCTGTGTTAGTGTAGCAAAAATAATAATCCTGAGTTAATAGTCTTGTAAGAAAGTACACGTGGGTATAAATTAGTGCCAAAGAGAGGATGGGCATGCCTAAATGAAATGAAATACATTTGATGCAGAATGCAAAATCAGCCTCAGCAACTGAAGCTGGTCCATGAAGGGTCTAGTTTTGGCCAGGGCTCCTACAAACAACCTTTACTGAGGGTCATGAGACTCTTGAAGGAAGGGGCATTGCATTTTTATGCATCATTCTTCCGGGGCTGCAGGAAAAGAAGCAAAACAAACCATTACTCAAAAAAGACAGTGTTTGTTTTTTCAACAAAACTTTCTTGGAACAGGACATAGATTTTCTTTGTTCAAAGTAAAGCAAGATCCTAATTTATTTAAGCATTCAACCCCACCGCCCCCAAGCTTTTCAGTCTCACAGTGCCTCCTTTGATTCTGCTGTGAGCTAGCAGAGCTGCTCCGTTAAATCTCCTTAGGTAACCATGTGGACAAGTCATGTGGAATGTACCTGCATTTTAACAATCATAGTGCAAGGAGTCATCCAAAGGCTGCATTAAGAGCTCTGAAGGGCCCTTTGCTACTGTGTTGACTTGTGATTATCAGCTGTTTATGCCAAAGCACTGGGCAAGGTGCTCATCCTGCCCAGACCACAGCACTGCTTAAATTGTGTTCCCAACATGTTTCCCATTTCCAATGGCTTTCCTTTGCCACCTGGCTGATGACACATCCTTATGTTTCTGCATCTTCTTTAAGAGACAACCTCCCTCCCTCTATCTTGCATTAGGCTCTTTTCAAATACATTTTATTTAGATATGCCTATGGTAACATTAAAACATAAAATACAAACTTTTTGGTGTGGATGATGGTTATGTTATTTTTATAGTTGTTGTAGGACATAAAAGTAGGGTTCAGAAAGTTTATATGTGGATTCCAACAGATAGTGCTGAAGTCTTAATTATTCTACAGCGTACTTTGAGCTCTTACAGAAACTGGTTCTGCAACCTTAGATCTGAGCAACTCTTGTATAGTTTCTTTCTTGATCTCACTGAGTATGCTTCAACTGCTTCCTTGCCTGAATTCATTAGAAAATATATCAGATTGTTCAAAGACAAGCTTCACTGGAAGATCAGATTTTGTAGTGCCACTTCAGTGCATTGAGAAACCTGTTTCCCTGACAAATAAGTGTTGTAGGAATGCACTCACACTGCTGGTGATCTTGGGGAAAGGGAATGAACATCCAAATTCAGGGCCATAGTTCAGCAGAAGTGTAAGACAGAAAAGGTCCCAGATGAATTCTGGTATCTTCGGATAGGTCTGGAAGACTCTAACTTAAAACCATGGCAAGCTGCTGCTACTCTGTGTAGATCAGCAGCCATATCTGGCCTGAGTAGTCCAGTGCTCTGATGGCCCCTAAATGGCCATGCCAGATACACAACGATTCAGCCAGGTGGTTCCTTCCACCCACTAGCAAAGGCTGCTGTTAATGCTGATCTTTTTGGTAGAGCAGGAGAAGGGTGCTTCTGTTCTTAGATTTCGACATTTACACTGGCTGATCTAGGAGGTGACCGAGATCCTGGAAAACCAGACAGGCCAGTAAAATGCCTACCAAGCGGAAACCTTGGAATAAGGATTTAGGCACATCAAATGACAGTCTTGCTTGGGATAATTTAATATTAGCTACAAAACACAAGTCACTTTAACGTACTGAAAACCTACTCCTTTCAATCCTTGTTTTATTTCTTTCCCCCTCTTCTAGTGATATGCTGAACGCCTTTCATAGTGTGCATGCTTTATTCTCACAAGCAACTTTGTAATGTAGGTTAGGTTGGGAGATGGTGATTGGCCAATAATCTTTGGCTGAAATAGGGTAGCTGTTGCACCAGCTTTCATCATGATTGAAAGTATCCATGGTTCCAGCCGATTCTGAAATCATGACATAGGGCCCCAAAACCCATAAGCTTTTTTGTTCCACTGAACAATATAGCAGCATCCGTTAGCGGAATCGAAGATCACAGGTGAAAAAGATAATTCTTTCAGGAATCTTGTTTTCCTCCACACCTACAGTACCTTTTAATTGCCTGAGATATAACCTTTGATTTGTATCTTTGTCTCTTGTATTTTGTGAGCTGGAAGGATGTCAATCAATGCCTCAGGCAGTGACATACCTATTACTGATTCCTGGTTTACAAAACAGGTGTGGCTCCTTCTTTGAAGCCTTCTCTGGTTCAGTGCAGTAACCCTCCTTTTTCTATTTGCCCAAAACTTATTGTGATCTCAATCTTGTTATGCAAAGTCCTATATGGGCACTTTTACCAGGCAAAAATTGACTAGCCCTTTAAGAGTGGTAAGATATTGTGACACAACAGTAACTAAGCATTAAGATGAAGGAGAAGTAGGTATGTTGAATGTGCTTGTGCCTTACTAAATGCACAAAAACACCATAAGACTAGGAAGCCATGATAAAGGAGTGTCTTGAAAATTCTGGCTGTACATGCATTCATCATTGATACATGAGCCTGATACATCACTTTACTGTACTTTATTTATTTATTTATTTATTTATTTATTTATTTATTTATTTATTTATTTAGAAAGCTTCTATGCTGCCCCATTTGCCGAAGCCTCGGGGCGGCTTACAACAATAAATAAATATAAAACAGTATAATATAATTGGAGATGTCCTGGCCATAAAAACAAAATAAATAAATAAATAATATTAACAATTAAAATGGCATTTAAATAAAAAGGTCTTCACCTGACGTCGAAAAACAAATAACGATGGCGCCTGGCGGACTTTATATGCTCAAGGAGCTTTTCGTGGAGAATGTGTGGGGGGGGCAGGATGGGGTGGGGCAGGAATATTTCTTTGCCGTAGTTTCTGTACAATGTCCAAATAGAAGTGCCAGTAGAGCTGAATCATGGACTTTAGATCAATGTGCATGCGATTTTCTTCAAAACATTAACTGGGTTGAGATAAAATAATGTTCAGGGACCCATGTTCAAGGACTGAGTAAAAGTTGAGTATAGATGAAAAGTACAGATGAAGAAGAAGTAGGGATGTTTAGCTAACATGCTTTTGCTGGATGTACAAAAGCTTTAGGTAAGGGCCTCACAGACTTGATGGGCCAGCTCAGTATTGTCCAGGTTGGAAAAGGCACCCCAAACAAAGGAGAAGGGCTACCTAGAAGCAGATTCTGTGCCTCAAATGAGGGCTTGTGTGAAAAGAACCGTGTGTATTCTGTGCTCAGGTGTGCTACAGTGATGAGTCTGGAGCGGGAGGGCCTTGGGCTGCTGCAAAGAGACCAGGTTAACTAGAGAACTCAGTCCATTCTGACAGGGTCCTGTTCTTTGCAGAAGCTCTCAGAAATCATGATCTGAAAAGTTCCACAGGGGCAAAATTGGCAATTTAGACTGTGAAGCCAGCTTGGCACCTTGGTTGATTCGGGGGCCAAACATATCATATACTGAAGCCCCGCTGACCCTGTTGAGAAGGCAGTATTTAATCCATTATCTGCTGAAAGAAGCTGAAAAGCTTGTCAGCATATTTCTAGTTGAAATTATCTAGATTGGATTTCCTCACACTTACGGAAACCAAGAAAAACCAACAAACCAGATACCAGTAGGCTCTGGCCTTTGTGTACAGAGCTTTAAATGGAGAAAGACCAAACAATTTATAGACAAATGGACTACTCCTGGCTATGAAGTGCTGCCTTTAATTTATTTATTTTTAAAATACAGATTTGTTTTGATGCTATTAGGCTACTGATGAAGAAACATGTTTTGTTTACATTATCTTAGATCTTACAGAACTTTATTAGGTGTTTTTATGTTAGATTTGTAATAAAAGATCCTATATTCTCTTTGTTCTCCTTAGCTCCAGTTTTGATAACATGAGGGTGGGGAGGGGTTTGGTTAAGACGTAGTTTGTGTCTTTTTGCTTTTTGTTACTACAAAAATCTCTCTGCATCTTTCTCCTCCCATTTCCTTACTTTCTTTTCTACCTTTCCCCTTCCCCTTCTCCTTTTCTCTCTAGTGGACCACTGAGGTATCACCGGTGCAATCCACCTTAGGTAAGGTCACGCTTAACACACTGGCTGAAGACTAATGATGGAAGTTGTAGTCCAACAGATCTGAAGGGCACCAGGCTTGGGAAGGCTGTGTAACTATTCCAGTCCTTGGGTGGTAGACTTAAATAAATTATTTCAAAGGTGATCTTCTCTACAGTTGTTGTTTTTGCATTAATGTGCAATCTACCCTAGCTGAGCTGTGTGATTTCTTCCCCCTGCCACCCCCAACACAGGCTACCTATCCTGCAAGGAGGGACATTTGCCTTCTTAACTCCTTCACTGGCCATGCTCAGTCTCCCAGACTGGAAGTGCCCTGCATGGACCCAGAATGCCAGCTTGGTGGATGCAGCTTCTTCAAATTTCACTGAGGTCTGGCAAACACGAATGCGAGAGGTAATCCTCTAAGATTCTCTCTCTCTCTCTCTCTCTCTCTCCCTCCCCCTCCCCCCTCCCTCTCATGGTGTGGGTGTGTGTAGGAACAGCAACATTTAGCCTTTAAATACCATGTTTCTCCGAAAATAAGCCCTATCCCGAAAATAAGACCTAGTACTATTTTTGGTACTTGCTAAAATATAAGACCTACCCTGAAAATAAGACCTAGTTGAGTTTATTCTGAGGCCCAGTGGGGAACATAAAGAGCCTTTTTAAGCTTTATTTTTTAACTTAACTTTAAGTTAATGCACTGTGTGGAGGAAACATGCCTATGTAGCTCTGCTCCCTCTGCTCCCTGCAGAGGGAGCAGAGTCGTATAAGCCGATGCTTCCTCTATAGCGCCGGCTCCTGTCACAGGCGGAGTGATATCAAATGTACCAAATGTACATGTATTCGTGCTGTTGTACATGAATAAATGCGGATTGTTGTACACATTAAAAAATAAAATAAAAAATAAGACCTATGCCAAAAATAAGACCTAGTGTGTTTTTGTGAGCCAAAAAAAATAAAATAAAATAAGACAGTGTCTTATTTTCCAGGAAACACGGTAGTGAAGTACTGGTTAAGTTTCAAAATCTTCTCTTGATCAGCCATATTGAGATTAGATCTTATCTACTTTCATGCTGAATTCAGTAGGAGCTGGTGACTGATCTGTTTGGCTTCTTCTTCATGATATTCCATTGCTTCAAGTCCACATTCATATGGGCAGTGCTGGTGACATGGTAACTTCCCAGCAGTATTGACCTCCATCCCACCCACTTTGCTCTGGACAGAAAGCTCACATCCTACCTCTTTCTGGGCTTCATCTTCCTCTCTCAGAATATGAGGCTTAAAAACAATATTCCTCTTTCAGGCAGTTCCTAGCCATTGAGAGTGATTACCAATCAGCTAAACTCCCTAGCAAAAGGAAGGCACTTCATTTTGCAGGGACTATTAAGGCAATTCCCAGCTCCACTCATCATCATCACATTGCATTTATACCCCACTTTCTTCCTCTTGCAAGGGAGCCAAGGCAGCTTACAAGTTCTTCTCTTCTCCATTTTATCCTTAAAAAATCAATCCTGTATGGTAGGTTAGGGGGAAAGGAAGTGACTGGCTGAAAGTCACCCAGGGGGCTGGGAACAAAAACCAGATCTCTTGAGTCCCAGTCCAGCTTAGCCACTCTATCTAATGCTTTCTTCAGTCTTACAACACCACAAGATTAATATTGAGGTTTTAAGAACTATTTACAGCTTTGCTTTTTCTCTCTGTGTTATTTCAGTTGCAAGGAGCAATCATGGTAGCTTCTTGCTTCCAAATTTTTGTTGGCTTTTCTGGTCTTATTGGATTTCTGATGCGATTCATTGGCCCTTTGACAATCGCCCCAACGATATCCTTGGTGGCATTGCCTCTCTTTGAGTCAGCAGGGGAAGAAGCAGGACAGCACTGGGGCATATCAGCCATGTAAGTTTTGCACCCTTGTATTCAATCTGATGCAAGCAAAAGCATATATTGTATTTGTGTATTTTTTCTATGTTGTGAGCCACCCCGAGGCTTCGGCAAGGGGCGGCATAGAAATGTTTTAATAAATAAATAAATAAATATTATTTTCCCTTTTCCCTGAAGCCATCTGTTAGACATCCCAACTGTATGAAAAAGATATTGATTATGTTGTATTTGCATGTATGGTGTGTTGAGCAATTTTAAAAGCTAGACAGGCAAAAAATGTGCCAGATACAAAAATACAGATAAGTAAGCAATAAAATGATCTTAAAGGCTGAAAATTAGTAGACTGTAAGGAAAGGTTGACAACTTACATCACCATCCTAACCAGAAATTCAACTTAAGCTAATCATAAATTAGACACCAATATTTACTTTAGATCCTGTACAAATACTACCCTAGAATTTGAATAAGAATGACATAGAACATATTTTCTTTCTTTGTCACGTTAGAACCATTTTCTTTATAGTCCTGTTCTCTCAATACCTGAAAAATGTGCCTGTACCGCTGCCATCTTACAATAAAAGTAAGAAATGCCATTTCTCCAAGATCTACCTCTTCCAGATCTTCCCAGTGAGTATACTTCCTTTGGATTTTAAATTAGGAGTGCATTTCAGGGGGAAGAGAGCAGGCAATTTGGGAGGTGGAATCTTTTCTAGCCCAGGTTTGGAGGATTTCTCCTCTCTGTATTCATTTGTTATAAATAATAAGTCCTACAGAGTAGGACTTTCACACTGCATTATTTAACTTTGCATAGTAATCATTGAAATACAGCCCAGAGGGGGGGGAAACTTCTAGTTTTAAAGTGTAGAAGCATAGTATAGAGTGGGAGGTCCTGGCTGTAGTGGTGGCAGGCCCAGGTGACATGGTCCCAGTAATGTAGTCAGAGAAATGAAACAGCTTTTTCTAAGGATGCTGGCTGTCCGCCATGTGGATGCACAACAGTTTGTAGCCAAGACATGAATGATATACTATGTGGGCATGTTGAACCAAGGCTATGTAGATTTCTGCAGTGGAAGACATGACATTAGGGTAGAACATGTTATCAATACCCCTTTGCCTCTGGCAATATAACACTGAACATATTATTTCCTTGTCTCTGCTCCATATTAGCATGACAACTGTTGGACATAAGCTAATTTCACCTGCAAATAACTGGGGAGGGGGCATCTTAAAGCAAGGATGCTATTTTCACTGGTAATCCCATGCATTTTTGTAACATTAGTTTTGCCTTGGTGTTAAAACAGCAGTTATAGGATCCATTTTTTGTTACAGTTATGCTGATCTTACCAAACTTTTGTAATGAACCAATGTTCAACAATGTAAGCTTCGTGGGGGTTAATTAAGGTGGCAAACATGGGCCAGAAAAGTTTTTTGTGAGTGTACTGTAAAGGATGGATCGACCTAGATGATAGGCAAGATGACTTACCATGCAATTCTTGGCACGACACTGAAATGAAACCTAACTGCAAGGAAATGCAGGCCAACATAACTGGAGAACACCATATGTGCCGGGGGGGGGGGGGTTGAACTACAGAGCAGGACATCTGGTTAGAGGATTAAGTCTTGCCACTAACAAAGATTCCTTGTCTTCTGTAACTGCCTAGGTGCTATTTGGCCTTACACTTACCTGGCTGTTATGCTTTGTGCTCACCATCACCAATGTCTTTCCTTTGGATTCTAACGACTATGGCTATTTAGCTCGGACTGACAGCAAAGGCGATGTTCTGTCCAAGGCACCCTGGTTTCGCTTTCCTTACCCAGGTAGTGTCATGTTATAATGTTGTCCATGTTTTCCCTGTTAGTGAAAATATTAACCATTTGCTTGGTATCCTTAGTAAACAGTTAGTGTCAGATTAGAATGTTGATATTAATAGAAGTTTACAAAGTTTGCTTCCCTATTAATGGTGCTGATATTAGTCTATGTACGTTTTGCTGATTCACTTTGCTATTTCTTTCTAGTATGGCCTTATGCATGTTTAGATAGAAAAGCATCCTACAAGTCCCAGCTTTCCCCAGCCAATCATGCTTTTGGGGGGAAGGTTGGGAGTTGTAGGGTACCTTTTCTGTCTGTACATGCATAGGATTGCACCCTCAATGAATAAGCAATTCATCCCATAGAGGGGTGAAAATATGCTTTTATCAAACTTTGGAGCAGTTAAGATTGTCTAGGCTCTGGCTGGAGGCAGGTAGACATGGCAATCTGAGCACAACAGTGACAGGAAGGTATCTTCTTCCTAAAGAAGTCTGGTCTCTCTTCCTTCTTTCCACCCTCGTTTTATTTCTAGTACTTAAATGGGAGGTGCATGGCAACCCACATTGCTCACAGCTTTTTCACTTACGCTGTACACTAATAGCAAGCTCATTTCTTTGTGCACGGATTCTTATATAGCTCAAATGACATGGTTCAGGCATGAGAGAAAGGCATCAGCCTGCTTGGGAAAAATCCAAAGGTTTGCACAAGAGTGTGTATTTGTAAAACCTTAGGAATAAACTGAAATGGGGGGGGGGGGGGGGGACAACCCAGTGAGAGCTGACAGTGCTTAGTGGCTACAGAATGCTGATCAAATAAGGGAACTGTCCAAAGAACTGCATGCAGCAGAGAGGAGAAATTGGATATTCTGGAAAATTTATTTATTTATTTGGGGTATTTTTAGGCCATCCAATCACACTGAGTCTCTGGGCGGCTCACAGAACCTAAGTGGCTGGCTGGAATTCTGAACATGAGCACCCACAACTTTTGTTGTAGGTCTCATTTGCCATTGTTACTCTATTTCGTCCAAATATAAACCCTAGAAGCACAAAAGATTTCTAGAGCGGTGCTCTTTGATTTCCTGGCTTCATCTAGGCTCTGTGTTTTGTTTTTTGGGGTGTGCAGGGGAGATAATAAACACAAGGAGAGTGGAGAAGACTGACAATGGCTAGAGCAGTGGGAGAAAACTGTTGAATGAAACAGAGAATAAAAAGGGAAATAAGACTTTGGGATCTAAATAGAGCGTAGGACACTGTTTATCCAAACAGCGTTTTCTCCTCTAACAGGCAGTGGCTCCGCAGAGTCTCAGGGGCTTTCATATCACCGAGATCCATTTTAAGTTGGTGATACCAGGGCTCTGCTGATGAGCTTTCACCCAGGGAGACTGAGGGAGAGAAGGCTGTCGAGCAAGTAACGAACGAGCATCACGTAGTCACCCTGTGATGCACTTTTTGTACTACATCTTGTGATATGTGACATCAGATCTTGACACATGTGGCTCAGAACTTCCTGCTTATACCTGGAGCAAGTTTAAAAGTGGAAAAAATCACAAGTTTCTCAAGGTGCAGTCAGTGGTTCCCTGTATGGAGACAGTTGATATGTGAATTTTAATGTACCCTCTGGGTTAAAGCACATACTCTCCCTGAAAATAAGACCTAACCAGAAAATAACCCCTAGTATGATTTTTCAGAATGCTCAAAATATAAGTCCTACCCCAAAAATAAGCCTCAGTTAAGATCATCAGCCAGACAGATGCATGTCCGTTGCAACACAATTTGGGGTTAGGAGAGTTATGACAATGTTCTAGAAGATGACATGACTATATTTGAATAAATGTAGATTTTTGTACATGAATAAATGAATAAATGTAGATTGTTGTACATGAAAAAATAAGACATCACCTGAAAATAAGCCCTAGTGTGTCTTTTGGAGCAAAGATTAATATAAGGGCCGGTCTTATTTTTGAGGAAACATGGTAGTAGGTGAAATAAATGATCTCTTGGGACATCCACTGGGAAAAACAGTGGTACCTTGACTCACGAACTTAATCTATTCCAGGACTCTGGTCGTTACCCAAATTAGTCGTGAGCTAGGTTAAATTTCCCCATAAGGTTAAATGTAAATAAGGTTAATCTGTTCTGTAACTATTTTTTTAATCAGAAAATTGTGAAGCAAAGTGACAAAGAAAAACAAAGATCACGGCCATCTCCCCCCACCCCCATCTCCCCCGAGTACAAGTGCGTCCATCTCCCTGCCCCTCCAGCACAACCGCAATCGTGCCTGTCATCCTGGCATGCTGGTGCGGGGGGAGAAACAGGTGCGAACGTGGGCTCGCTGGGGTGGCAGAGACGGGCACAATCGTGCTGCGGGGGGGAAGATGGCCAAGATCGCGGTTGCGCTTGTGCAGGAAAGACAGGCGTGATCTTGGCCATCTCCCCCCCGCCCCCACTCCCAGCATGATCGCTGCCATCTCCCCACTCGGGAGGGTGGGGGAGGGAGATGGCCACGATTATGGTTGCCACCCAATGTGGAGTTCACAACCTACGTCAAAATTTTTATGACATTTTTGTTCACAACCAGATTTGTTCGTGAGCCAAGGTACCACTGTATTCTGAGAATGATTCAGTGCTTTGTGCTAGTGAACTTTATCAGTTTCTGATTCACAGCCTCAAAATGGACAGTTTGTTTCTGTGTTTGCAATCTACAGGTCAGTGGGGCGTTCCTACCATCAGCTTGGCTGGGGTGTTTGGCATCATAGCTGGAGTGATCTCCTCCATGGTGGAGTCAGTGGGAGACTACTATGCCTGTGCTCGTTTATCTGGTGCTCCACCCCCTCCCAAACATGCAATCAATCGTGGGATTGGAGTGGAAGGGATTGGCTGTCTTCTGGCCGGGGCCTGGGGAACGGGAAATGGCACTACTTCTTACAGTGAAAATGTTGGTGCTCTGGGGATCACCCGGGTAAGTCTTATGCTGGTACAAGAAACCATATTCCACTATAAAGTTGGGTGGATCTAGATGTGTGTGGTAAGCACACAAGTGGGCCAGTTGGGGAGGAGAGCAGCATTTCTTAATTTTCTCACCTTTTCAATCAACTTGTCTACTGGGGAAAAAACTGGAGAGAATTCTGAGGAATTCTCTAGCATCCACATTTAATTTCTGGGGGATATTGGCCAGACCACACTTTGAGCACATCTGAACTGAGAATATGGCTTTGGAAATCCCCAGTATTCCCTAGCTTCTGCATATTGCTGGAGATAATAAGCTGTAGTGTTAAGCTCAGGGCTCAGTTTATGGCAGGAAAAGTGGTGGGAGGGGAGAGATTAAATCTATAGACCAAGCCACTGATATCATCAATCTAAAGGGGATAATGCTCAAGGACAGGGGGCTCTCCACTTCATATTTCAACCACTACTGGAAACATTGATAAGCTTCCAAGTTTAAACATGTCCGGATTAGTGGTACTGTCATCTACATTAGGACTGGGCAAAAGATAGATCTGCAGATGTTTTGGATTTTAAATCCCAGAAACTCCTGCCAGCTTTCTGTCTAGCCCTGTCCTACACGTACTTTTATATTTGTTTCTTGTATACTTAACAGCTTTCAGAGGATTTTAGCTTCTGTTTATTAGAAGCCACAATAATCTTTCAACCCATGTTTGGTGATATATCTGCAAGTTAAGAACAAGCATGCAGTTATATGGCTGGATAAGCATCAGAAAATTGTTTAATATTCTCTCTTATATATGAGTAATGTTCTGTATCTACTACTGTAGTTTAGAGAAAGTAAAATGATTAATATGACACTTGAATGATTATTCATTAGAATAGCAATGAAAGCTAAAAACAGTAATTTTAACAGGGAAATCCATGAAATAACTTCCTAGTCTGTTACTGATTGGAATGAAATTTTCTAGAATAATCTCTCAGTTAGACACCTGGCCAGGCCAATGCGTCTTATTTCAATCTTATTTCTAAACCTAACCACTGCCAGAATCGATAATTGATAGAATCCTATTGTTCTCTATGTAAAGCTTCTGATGTTCGTCTATTCCTCTCAACACAGGTAGGGAGCAGAATGGTCATTGTGGCTGGTGGCTGTGTTATGCTTTTGACAGGCATGTTTGGCAAAGTTGGAGCGATCTTTGCTAGCATTCCAACTCCCATAATTGGCGGAATGTTCTTTGTGATGTTTGGCATCATCACTGCTGTGGGGGTTTCCAACTTACAGGTAAGAATTTTGAAAATGAGAGGTGTGTATGAGTTAAGATTCATTTGGCTGTTATTGAGTGAAATGATGAAATAAGCCCTTGCCAACTATCTCCAGTCATCTGAAGGCTTCCCGCTCCTCAGAACATGCTGCCCTGCAAGCTTGGAACTGCCTTAACTGTGGGATGCTATCAGCTCTTCTTTTCCAAGAAGCCTTTGGTAAAATTCCTAGAGCTCCATGTCCTGCTCCAATGCAATCCTGCATATCACCCCACCTAAGCACACACAGCTAAAGCCGCAACACATTGCTGGTTTGCTGGCTTTCTATGCCTCAGTTTCCTTCTTCTTCCTTGGTTGCTTCCCTGGGTCAAGGCTTAGAGGGGGCTGGTTCTCTTCTACTTTGTAGAACACCATGTGTACTCATGGCACTACATACAAGATAAACCAGTAATACTGTTGTTTGTGCATACATTAATCATTGGTGAAATTAATCAGGTTTATAGCATCTGTCATTTTGCTCTATAAATAATGTCTCTGCCTTATTCAGTATGCAGACATGAACTCTTCAAGAAACTTGTTCATTTTTGGATTTTCTGTCTTTGCGGGTCTGACAGTTCCCCAGTGGGTGCAGAAGCATACAGAACTCCTGGAAACAGGTACACAGAGAGACCATGGCTTTTATGTGTCATCATTTGAGTGAAGGAAGTTTAGGATGGAGTAGTAGTAAAAATGCAATTCAGTAAAACAGGGGCATAGTTCCCAGCAATTAGCCCCTAGATATGTTGTGACTTCAGTTACATGACATGTTTGAATGACTACATTTGAAAACAGATGTACTTGTTGTACAGGGTGCTGCTATAGTGTGGTATATGGTTTTTGTCCTAAGATACTGTTCCGCATCCCTGTGTTTAATCCTCCACATTCCTGATCCAGTGAACAGACATAACATAGCAGTCCACACAAAGAGCGTATTTTTGCTGGATCATGAATAGAACCATAGCAAGGTGCCTTATCCTGGGTCAGTCCATTTGTTCATCAGTTGTCAAGGCTGACTCAGCAACTCAGTCCTTTTCCTGCCTGACCTGAAGATGCTAGGTTTTGAACTGGGGGCCTTCTGCATACAAAGCATGTGTGTTACCACTTAGCCACAGCCACCCCTTAAAGTTTGAACAGCCTGTCCGTATACATGCAGTCTGGGGTTAGGAGCTGATGGGTTTGACTTGTAAGACTGGATGATGATTAGCTATCAAGACAACATTCTATCTTTAGAGACTTGTTGGAGGTTCTCATTTGTTTGGATGTTTGCTTGACAAATGGATTCTTTTTTCTAGGCATTGCACAGTTGGACCAAGTGATCCAAGTTCTGCTAACCACAGGCATGTTTGTTGGGGGATTCCTAGGCTTTCTTTTTGATAACACTATTCCAGGTAAGAGTTATATTAATAATTTGGGGTTCTTGGCTATATGCCAGCATTCAGTTTAGCATTGCTACATTGAAGTAGCAGAGGGAACATTGCATTTGGCTGCCAATATTTCAATGTTAATTTTCATATTAATTTTATTTATTTTCTAAATGGCACCCTCCAGTTACCACACCTGGGGTAATTTATTGTAAAAGTACATCATATGATGTACATCATAAAATCAAAAAACACAAAAAACAAACAAACCAAAGCAATACAACAATCCTTTAGAGCGCAGTTAAAGAGTGAGAAAAACCTTTGTACAGAATTTAACAGCTGATGAAAAAGAACAATCTTTACTGTCTCTCTAAAACAACATAGGAAGGGGCCTTTCTCACATTGGTCTTAAGGTCACAGTCCCAATCCTGCTGCAATCCTTTAGCCACTAGACAGAGTCAAGATGGCCATAGTCTTGGCTCTAACCTCAGAAACACACCCGGTGCTGCAGCTGAAACTCTGAACTTGCCATGGTGTCCAATTGTCCTCACAGAGGCTCTGTCGCTCTGGTGGTACCTCAGCCTCTTCTCCACTCCAAGGGAAAATACTTAGATGGCCTTTTGCAGGAGAGCTTCTGTGCTCCTCCTGTCCTCAACAGGATGGCCATAATTTTCTGAGTTTGGAGGATTATGGGCAGCTGCATTGGATTGTGTTGCTCAACAATGGGGTCCTTGTATATGTTCAAGCCATTGTAGAAGTTAACAGTGGAACATTATCCTGTTTTTGGACCTGCTTTTCCATGAGTGGCTTGAGTAATGTTTAAATAAGCCAACCACATGCATTGTCAAAACTCAGTGGGAGGGAGTTGCCATTTATATGGGAAACACTTGTGTAATTGGGCTTTGCCGATCTGGGTGAGTCATTTATCATTTATTTTAAATATTTATACACTGCCCTTCACTTTCAGAATAAAATGATGCACAGACTTCATCAAAACAAAACACAGTACAAATTGTAATACTTTTTTTAAGCCATTGGGCTTGGACAAAAGTATCTTCCATGCAGCTAGCATAACAAAGGGTCTCGATGATACAGTATAAGAAGAAATTGCAGTGTTTCAAGCTGAGCAAAGCTAGGATGTGGCCACCACTGATTTGAGATCAAGGAGGTACCTGTTTAAAACAAGTCTTGGGGATGCTGTAGGCAAAATTGCACTCCTCTTTGGTTTTCTTGCAGCAGAAACACACAATCAAAATCACTTGATTTTCAGGAAGACTGAGTGTGAGAATTGTGTTTTGGGTCACGTTTGTAATCATATTATTGAGAAGGGTGCCTTCTGGGAGTGAATGTTTACTTTGATTGAACCTTGCATTTCTGACAGTCCAAAAGGATGATTCAATGTCTGTGTGTAAGGCGTCCACTTTTTGTGGCATTAGAGGGAAAAGCATTTCCCTCTGGCATGAAACAGTTTTGTATACTACATTTTCTACTTTCTTGAATGACCCTTGCTAACTCCCTTGTTGCTTTTCTTTGGTAGGGAGCAAAGAAGAACGGGGACTCTTGGCATGGAAAGAGGGTCATATGGATGGTTCTGATGATACTGTGAATACCATGGACATCTATGATCTACCCTTTGGAATAGGTTCCAAGATCTGTGCTGCTAACTGGTTTCAGTACCTCCCAATGTGCCCCAAACGACCAGCCAACAACAAAGCAAAGGAGCATAACAGTCGTGCACAGGAGAGTAGGAGCAAAATTAATTCAGCAACAGATGGAGAAATTAAACATGACACAAAAATCTAAGACCACACCAGCAGACAAACTTGATTTGCCGAGCCACTGGAGAAGCATCTTCTTTTTGCTGGTTTCATGGCACTGGTACAGCAGCTGAAGTGAGATACTCTGTTCTGGAAGACTGCTCCATGATTTGCCACTAGCTTACTGTTACTCTGAAAGTCCCTTTCCAACAAGAATACAGTACCAGGTTGAGAAATAGCCTGGTGAGGGAGTGGGGAGCTCAGCAGTGTTCATGGAAGAGAATCTGTTTTCCTTTCTACCCATCTGAATGTAGTTCGTGAATACACTGACAAGCCAGCCCCAAGCAATAAGCTACCGGCTTAGACCTCATTAAACCAACTGCAGCCAGACTGATCCTATGCAGTTGTCTCAATACTTGGTTGCTCACCTGCCTTTTGGTCTTCAGATCCATTGAGTTTGTATAGTATCTGGAAGATGGTCTCTTAGCATGTGTTATTTATCTACTGCAAATAGCTGCTGATATAATCTGGGCTTCCAAGCGTTTACTTAATATAAAGTTGTTGGGTTTCAGCTTCTTTCAGACCTTCATGAAAGTCAGTATGAGTAGCCCACACAGAATACATGCTTCCTACACACATGTGCGCACCCCCTTTAGATAATTGGACAATCCCCTGCTTTTGGCACCCTCTAGAAATTTTGGCCAGAAAGAGTAAAGATTTTACTGGAGGGCACCATGCTGGAGAACATTAACCTAGATGGGTACATTTATATTCCATTGTGCCTTATATTGTAAATCTATCCAAACTGAAGGAATCGGTGTGATCACTGTGGATAATCTTTCTGTGTGTAGAAGTAATGAGACCTTTGGGGTTTAGTACTGCACCCAAGCATAATTTGGAAGTGCTTCTTTTTAAAAAAGATACATTGACCATATTTGCACAAATATGGTGCAAATTTGTCAGAACTCTTCAGAGTCCTGGTTGTATTTTTAAATTTTAAAAATTACAGCCCTTTCCCCCAAATCACATATACCAAATGTAACACATTACAAATACTGTCTAAATTAAGAGTATAGACCTTTTCATGAGTGTGTGCCGGTGCGTACTGTCCACCTGCTCCTCCTTGGCTCCCCACTAACTAACTAGGAACTTACTGGGACATAAAAGTTTATCATTAAATTGGAACTCCTACTTGTTCTTTTAGCATGCCAGAATTTGACATAAGACCACAGAAACTTGGGTTAGTACATTGTGTGAATGCTGCCATTAAGTCAACATTGGTAGGCTAAGACCAGGGTAGTCACAGGATAATTTCCTAACTTTTGGAAAACCAGGTCTATTCTGGCAGCTACCAAAAATAACTTTCTATGTGATGTTAATACCCAAATAAAACTCAGCTTCAGCCAAAGCCTCTCAGTCTTCTCTCTGTAGAAATCTTCTCTGCACTCAAGATATGCCAAAGGATTTTGTTTCTTTCTATTGTTGTCCATTCATGCTACAGAGATCTTTTGCAAGTGTCTGGCCATCTGTTGACAGCCTTCTATTTCCATTTTGCTGATCTCTTCCTATAGAGGTATACAGACGTTTGCAATCCTTTTTTCATTCACTTGCTCCACAATTCAGTATTTATTGACCTGATCACACTGTGCTGGGTGTCCTGTGTATTTTCTGTTTCTATACATGAGTTTTACACAAATGGTGAGAGGCAGCAATTGTATGGCCCCTAGACAGCATATGAGAAACCACAGGATATTTTAGATTCCCAGCTCGGAGAGCAGAGACAGAGCACACCTCCTGCTTGCAGCCAACATGGAAAATCCACACAGGCTCCCTTTCTGTGGTAGGGAACAACCTCAGAGAGTAGCAAAAGGGGCTTTTCAGTGGATGGAAAGGAGACTGGGACAGCCAGAATATGAATTAATGTAGGGTCTCACTAGTCTCCTTCCATCCCACTCTGAAATGCTTTGCTTAGATGGGCAAAACAATACCACTGACTAATGTGCCGGCCCTTTTACTTGTGGAGATATATAAATAACATACCCAATTATTCACAAAAAGAAAGTGAAACAATTAACTATATTGTCCTCCCTGTATTTTTCTTCTGGCTACTCTGCAATTATCACTTACTTCTTTAGAGTCCACTTACCACTAAGTTTTTTACTCTGGGCCACTATACTCTCCTGTATTCTGAAGGAGAAAATAGCACCTATCATTGAAAATAAAATCTTCAAACACCTTGAAAACTATTTTACCACTAGGTTTCATGATGTAGATCAAGAATCTACTTCATCACTTTAATTGAGGAAAGACTGACTGCTGTGGGAGAGAGAGTGAAGGGAGGGAGGAAGAAGCATTTAGCAATGAAAATCTTATTTGCTCTAAAAATTGGCCCCAAACCTACCATATGAGCACACATCTAGTTTGGCCCTAGGTGGCAAGAGCAGTTATGAAAGCGGAGTACAAGTAGAGACATGGTTAATCTTCCCGAAGTGTGTAGCTTTGCACTTGCAAGCACTACATTGCAGACATAAAAAACCTTTATAGATATCAAACTGGAATACATGTAAAAAGTACAAGTAATTTAACCAATGAAGAACTACAAAGTCAACATAAACAAAACTGCTTTAAACATGATACATGCCTGGAACAGGGTGCAGCACCTTCTTCCATGGTAGTGTTGAGTTTTGGATGCAGGAGAGGGCAAGGCAATGTAATCAACAATAAGTTTTTTCTCACATAATAGGTATATGTTAATTCACAGATCTTCATCATCAAATGTCTCTGTGCATCTGAGCATCACAGTTTCATAATCTAGATGAAGAACCTCTTCCTGTCAAAAAAAGGGTGGAATAGAGTAGGAGTAGGAAAATGATAACGCTTCTGTTAGGGCCTAGTTTGATGTGATAAAATAAGTTAATAAATATGGTGTCTCCATTAGCAAGTGAAAGACATGCTCCTTTTGCACACAGTATCTGAAAAGCCAGAGGCTCAGCATGTTCAATTAGTATTTATTCTACATAATCACAAGGGACGTCCTGGCAGATGCTAAGCATCTGATGCTGATTTCTGTGGGTGAAGGCTTCCCCTTCAAGCTATTCAAGTAGGGATGGCCAACTGGGGATTCATGGGCTGATAAAGCAGTGCTATCGGTCGCCACCCCAGTAGCCCCATCAAATTGAAATCAAGGTATGATAAAATTGTTGCCCAGTGTTGTGTAGAGTGAGGAAACAGTTTCAAATGCTATTTTGTAGGGACAGATTGTACACTTGCCTCTTTGCAGGCCTTTTGCCTATGTTTGTGCTTTTTTTTAGCACAAAGATGTATATCTGATTTTTATCTATGGTTAAAATTTAAAGAGGCATGGGTTAATAGGAGAGAACTGCATATGAATTTTCTGTTCTTTTGTGCTACAGCATGTTTGTAATGCTGAACAAACTAGTCTTCAGTTCCAAAAACAGCTTTCTTAGGTAGTAGGAACTGTTGCAGCAAGCAACAAGCGTACAAATAACCAACAGATAGCAGAGATCTGGTTCTGTGAACAGTTGGCTTCCATGCTTCTCTATGGCTCCTGGCCTGGTGAGTTGCAATGCCTATACTTTTTTGGAGCAGCTTTCAGAGGTCCACAGTGCTCTGAATGCAGGATATCTGGATCTCAGTATTAGATCCAACATTACATTAGTGAATATTTGCTTGTATATCAGGACTTCTCCGTCCCCTCCCCCACAGCTGCCAAAATGCCTCCAAAATTTGTTCCAGAAAGGCTCTCTGAAGCAGGTTTCGTGTCTATGCAAGGGCTGCAGGGAAAATCCATTTCAGGATGGTACCACTGGATCCATCCTTCCATTTTAAGACATTCTAGAAGCACAGCAGTCTTTTTAGGCTAATAGTATTTATAAGACTGAGTAATATAGCCAAACAGGCATACTGAGATTGTAGATTGAGAAGATCTATGCTCTGTGGTAAAGCACTTGTATGATTACCTCATTGCCATTCAGCTTAACTCAACCAACATTTATCTCATCTCCATAAAGCTGCTAAATGCAGGTGGAGTTAAAGCTTAGGTGAAATGCAAGTTCTGTGTGTGAGATAAAGCAACAATAAACCTGTAAATCAATCTCTGCTAGTCCATCTAACGATTCAGTCTGGCCCTCAATTTACCATCTTTAAATAGGAAAATTTGAAGTGTGTGGCTGGGTTTTACTAAAGGTTTCAAAACCTAAAAACTTTCTCAGGAATCAGAGCACAGAACTTCTTAGCTCCATATAATGGAACCATTTCTCAGCCAATGAGGCTTTTCTCTATCCCTTTTACCTCTCTAGATCCTAGTGTTTTGTGTCACAATACTGGGATCTAGAAAGGAAACATTGCTTTCATTCCTTAATGTAAGTGTTTAATACTTTCTCATATTCTTACACAAATTAAGTACAATTAAGTTTTATTCTGTATAACTTAATTCAGTTGAAACATTAACATTAGAAATGCTTTGTGGGATTAAAGGAAAAATGTCTATTGAATCTAGCACTTTGTATCCAATAATGTCCCAGGAAAACTCACAAGCAGGAAACTGTGGGAATAGCCACACCTTCATCAGGATCATATTGCTTCTAAGTGTGGCATTTTCTTCATAGATGTGTCTCCTACTTTTGAAAGTCATCTATCCTGGTGGCCATCAGACCATCTTCCTTAAATCACCCCTCCATCCCTGCACCCATAACTTCCTTTAAGCTCTAGCTGTATGAAAGAGCTAGTCATGCAGAATGGGGTGGGGACTCTCCAATTCACTTGTACGCGGATCTGCTTCTGCATGAGGTTTAGGGTAATGTGGTTTAGGGTAATGTGTCACATAAAATAGTTCTCAGTTTTTACAGCTCATTCATTATTTTGGTAACATGCATCATGTGCCTCATCATCATCTTTTATCTAAAATTCCAGTCTCTCTCTCTCTCTCTCTCTCTCTCTCTCTCTCTCTCTCTCTCTCTCTCA